GGGAAACTTTTAGCGAAATGGTCACGAAGAATGAGTGCTGTGTGCGACGGTGCATTATCGTGATGCAAAAACTAAGAATTTTTGGCCCATAAATCTTGTAATTTTTTGCAAATTGCTTTACGCAAATGACTCATAACGCTTAAATAATATTCCTTATTTACCGTTTGGCTGGGCGGAAGGAATTCATAGTGCACCACACCACAAAAACCGAAGAAAACAGTCAACTTGATCTAGATTTTTGAGCGACTTTGACGCGATATTTTCGGTCTTGCCTCACCTTTAGTACGATATTCGCTTGATTGGGCGGTGGTTTCAGGATCGTACGCATCCCCGCCTCATCTGCTGTAATCATGCATTTAAGCTTGTCCTGGTATTCAGAAAACCTGGTTTCACACACATCAACATATCATTTTTTCCGTGAAATTGAGTGTTTTTGGAACCAAATGGGGTTTGACTTTAAATAGTGTTTCAAAATCGTTTTTAGGGAACTTTCTGATATTCATATCAGTAAGGTCTCTAACAGTAAACCAAGACGATTTTTGAGTACCAATTCTTTAATTTTATTGACGTGTTGCACATCAGTCATCAACACTTTTCCGACCCTATTTGAAGTCTTTGTACCTCTTATAAACGTTCTTTTCTAACATAGTTGAGTCCCCAAAGGCTTTCTGTAAAAACCTCAACGTTTCAGCAGTCGAAAACAACATTAAAAAAAAATAATTAATCCGATTATTAAACGCGCGAAGTTCAAATTAAAAATTAACCTTATTTTTTAACCACAGTAGTACATGCATTGGCGAAATCGTGGCAAAAATTTTCTAAATCCTACCTTGTAATGAATTGAATCGAATCGAATCCGAAAAAAATTTTATTTTTGAAACAAGCTTAAAACTCAAAAGACAATCATAAATCTAATTGAAATGACAAAATGTTATATTTTGAAGCGGAAAAATACAAATTACTATTTTCGAGCGAAAAACACAAAAATCGAATATTAAGACATTAAATAACAAATAGTAAATAAAGAAAAGTAATTCCGCCGAAAAACTGAAAATCAAAACTTTTAATTTTTTAAATATGTACATACATTCCTAAACTAATGTAAGTAACTTTAATAACTTTGAGGCGACGTTTAACAATCAATGAGTAGAGAACACCGTTATGTCTAAAATTTAATGAAAAAATCAAATCAAATTAACAATAAATCGTGAAATCCCTAACCCAATGCAGTCAAAGCGCTGGCTTTTTCCTTGTCTCCTTTGAATGCTTGCATGATGGAATGAACAAAACTATAGAAATTGGACTCGGAAATCAATGAATCAATCAACACCCTATTTTACCCCTCTGGTGAAAATTTTGTTTCGAACACTCAATGAAACCCTTTCCAATAGAATACGTAAGCCATTGATATTTTTGTGCTGCGCTCTGTATCCTAACTAAGCGTTTGTAAAAGTTCACTCGATTTTATTAATTTTTTTTATTGTCTTCAAACCTTGCCTGCCTGTGAAATGGTGGAAGTCTCAATCAACGAAAGGCCGGATACTTGTAAGGGTAGTGCCTCAGCATTGCAACTCCCGCTGACCAACTCTGCACTGAGCAGTTTCCACTTTACCTAGCCAATGGGTATGATATCTCAGTATTCTAAGCTATTTTTGTTTAATGTAAAAATTTGTTTAGTTTAGATCTACTATCTATCTACTCAACCTCACAATAATTTAGTGGCATGCCTCACATTGGTGGAGTTCCAAGACCTTAAGGTCTCCTCGATAGTCCACTGTTTTAAACAATATTTGAGGACACTGAGTGGTCCGAGGCTTTCGAATGAGTCAGCTTGTCCGCCTTTTCATTACCTTATACTTACGTGTGAATCGGTATCCACGGAATTATTATTGTGTTATCCAATGATAGTCTTTTAATTGCCTGTGTATGTGATCTAACGCATTTGCACCTTCAGTAATACCCAACAATATCTGTTTGAAATAAAGAGTTGTAGACACTGTATAATTGGCTTGGTCATAGAGGATATCGGATATGTAAGTGTCATAAGACTCATACTAACTACAGCGCATTAGTGTAGTATCTGGTACTCAAGAGGGAAAGCCGCATTAAACTTTTGAATCAGGAGCAGCATACCTGTCTTACTAAATAAACCCTGAAAAAGTGGTTTGTACGAATCGGTTGGGTTCTAGTCAATCATTCACAACTGATTTGTGAATTGAGTCGACGGACAAAATTGTAGGAGCTACTGCAAGGTCAGCCGAGACAGCCACATGAATGGAGTGATATTCCATCATTAATCGGAGTGTTGAGACATTTAATTAAAAGCAAAATCATTGGAAATCATTTATCCATTTTTCTTTTGACAATTTAAAAAAATTTCGGAGCACTACCGAAAGCATGGGTAAAAGAAAAAATTAAGTTTACTGTTCACTAAAACATAGTTGGGATTACTGAGAAAAGTTTAGCGCTTGGGATCAGGTCCTTAGCATCCCTCTTTAAGAGGTTGCATCTAGTTAGAATTCTCAATAAATCGTTTTTTTTTAATTTCATTTTCTTAATGAACTTGTATCCGAGTAAATACTCTGCAAAATTCAAGTCGTTCCATCTGTTATTTTAAAAGATACACGCATATCTCTCACGACACGTCAAAGCATTGAAAAGCGTTAAGCCGGTGTGGCGCAACTATAAACTCGTTTTTCTCAAAACTATGTTCTTCAAGTCGGTGACTAAGATTTCTCGTAAACGGATGAATCGATTAGTCTAAAAGTTTTACATGGGCTTCTGAAAAATATTTTCTTGTCATTAATTGAAGTTTTTCCATTAACGATGAAAAGTTTTTTAGTGCGCAATTCAAGACAAAAATTATGGAGAAGAATTGATTCTTTTTTGATTAAGCTCATAAGATTATACAATACAATACTTTAACAAAATCCGTTCAGTTTTTTTATTTCATATGATTTACCGCATAAATACAATGGTCGCCGCTAAACGCCCACTTTTCGGAAGAGTCCCTGGAGATCTGCTGTAGCAACTTCAAAAATTATTAGTTTAAAAATAAAAAATTGCCAACTATTCTCCAAAGGTGCATTAATATGTGTACAAATTCTCAAAATAATAAAGCTGAAAGTTTTCTCGTGAAAAATCCTTGAAAAATCTCAGTTTTTAGGGCTCCTCACTAGATATAGCCCCTTAAACTAAGTAAACAGACGACAACTTTTTCATTCTCCGCAAAAAGAATCTTTACCTTTACAACTAAATTTTAATATAAAAATATGCATATCAAGGATGTTTTTTAGGCTTGTGGTTTTCAATGAGGCAATTAGTTTTTTGGTGTTGCTCTTTTTGCACAGATCTTACTTGATATATACTCAGTTTGGTTTGCCATTTTATAATTCAATGGTTTACTTGAAAACAACGTTCACAAATCGTGCAAAATTTAGTCGGTTTTGCACCATATTTACTCTAGTGGATAATGAGCAGCTTCAGAGATGTCAAACAGTGCGCACCGAAGACGCTATTCCTGCTGTGGAACAGAGTACCAAATTGGAATTGGAGCTTTATCCCTTCACTTTCTGAAAGTTTTTGCACAAGGATCTTGGTTTGCTTACAAAATCCCACTCATGTAGGAAATAGAACCGAACTATAATGAAGCGCTTCGCATGTTCGCTGAATGGACCCAAAACGAGATGGCCGCTGTTCCCGATTTTCACCAGAAAAAGTTGTTCAGCGATGAAGTTCTTTTTTGGTGGAATAAGTATATTAATATGCGAAATCATATTTAAAGGGACGATAATCCACGAGCCATTGCAGAGGCGCCGTCTATGGGCTGACAGCCACAATGCTACTGGAGAACGCTAATGTAATCATGATTAATGACTTTTCTTCCAATAAGATGGCGCTACATGCCATATAGCTTAGCTAACGAAACAATCAATTTATTGAAGTGAACTCTTGGTGACCTTTACCTGACGTCGTGGGTCTATGCAGATAAGCCCGAAACGAATCCTAATTAAGTGGTCTTAAATTTGAACTCTTGCCTTGGAATCCATTCGAGTCTCTTGCTCTAAATCATTTTTGGAACATAACAACTTGTTTTTTTTAATAATAAAGCTTATTTCTTGGCCATAACATTAAATTATATGTGTTTTTTTTCTCCTTCAAAACCAATTGTCAAAAAAATCACCCTTTACATAAGCTTTTGGTAAGAAACATATTCTTAAACTATTCAACCCAGACGAGGAAATAGCATTATGTTGTAGTTGGTAGATTTCCAAAAAGGGTAGAGAGTATCCTCGGCCGCTGATTTTTCAATCATTTGAGAAATTTAAGGAACAGTTAATGAGCTTACTTTGAGGACAACTCAATCAAACGCTCAGAGTGAGTTTCGGATTCAATTAAGCCTTTGTGGTAGTCGAAGCCATCAAAAATTCCGCTTCACCTCTTTACTTTGCAATGTTAAAATCACAAAAGAAAGCAATTCAAAAGAAGAAAAAAGAAATACTAACAAACATCCATTAAATCTCACACCAAAATAGGAGCTAAACACAATAAGCGGAATATAAAAAGAAAAGCGTAAGATACAAAAGGAAGTTCGCCACTTGCCAGAACAAAAACAATAACCAAAGCAACAGAAAAACTCCACTGAAATAAATTAAATAATCAGTCCATTTACACAAAATGGTTCGTTTTAATTAATTCAAACGCGTTAAAATAAAATACAGAGCGAGCACTATAAGAGCGTCTTTGCACAGACAGCCCCGCGAACGTCCGCCCGTTTAGCACTCAAGGAAAACTCGTTAAACCAAAATCACTGCCAACCACAGGAAATCTGCGTCTAATGCATCTGCGTCTAATGCGGCAAGAAGTTCTCTTTCTTTTTTGGTTTTTTTCGCAGAACATCTTGAAAGTAATTAAAAACGACTGTTCGTTATTGCATAGGTCAGAAAGGAAGAGAGGGCGAGAGAGCGAAAATTCTACACAGTGCCATATTATATAAAACAATGGGAAAGGGTACGAATTTCTGTTTAAATGAGTGCAGCACAAATTTCGAAGTAAAAATCACTGTCTTCGGTATCCACATTCGCTTTAACTTTCACTTCTTTCACTACTTTCGCTTTTCTGTTTGTTGAGTGGATTTTTAATGGCATCGATGGACGAGTGCGTACTTCGTTTGTAGACGAGTACATCTTTCGGTGTGACACTTCTAATGAATTTTTCGCCATCTGTCTTAGCACTCGAAATTGCGTTTGGGTTTGTGCAAATTCAAATTGGTCCATCAAGACCTTTTATATTGAAAAATTGGGGAAAAAAGTCAATGTATTTAGCATTTCTTTGCCTTTGTTGATCTTTGTCATGTACATAATTGATGAATTTTTTCTCTCTTTTGCAGATTTGCGAATTCAAAGTGAATAAGGGATATGCCATTGTCAGTTCGCTGATAAGTTTTTGGATTCCCGGTGTCACCATGGTATTGATGTATTTTCGCATTTACAAAGAAGCTGTTCGGCAAGAGAGACTCGTTTACAGGTGAGTAGGTGATTTAGTGTTGGTGTGCAAATAATTTTTAGTTTACTTTGAAATTTAATCGATACACATGCACAGATTCTTTCAAACTTCGAACCAAAGTTAATATGCCATTTCATGTACATGTAATTGAACATCCATTGATTTATTATTCAATGCCTATAAGTTGACCGGTAACGCCCATCGGGGTGTCCATTTTAAAGCATTCTTCATCAATTTTCTAATTGTGCCCAGCAACTTGGGACTTAGCAGTCATCAGAGTATGTAAGCCACGTGTTTGTATAGGCAATTACCTTAAGTTCCTTCCCCGCTAATTTTTTTCAGAAGCTCTTACGCGACATGTGATCACAGGAGTGATAACAGCCTAACCCCTAAAGGGTTCCTCTATTTTCTGCATAATCATTTTGGCTTGGTTACATTCCGCGTTAACCTTCCTGCAGCTCAGTAGAATTCTTAGCCATAATAGCATGACAGTCTCTACTCGGGCCGGTTCCAGTCACGACATATATATATTGCGCTTTTGTGGTTTTGCGTCTTGATGTTTTTCGTACAAATGCAGGGACCTACAGTTTATACTAAGCTGCCTCCGAGCGGTTAATTGGTTTTTTCATGTCAGAAATACCCTCGGAGGGTGTATATCAAGCCGGGGCCTTCCAAATTCTGACCACTCGGCTACTACGGCCACATTGGACCTCATTGGATACATTGTTGAATACTCCACTTATGTACAGAAAGCTCCCAAGAACTCTTTACATATTTTGTGTTATTAAGTAAACCGATATCCGAGCTCACTTTGCTCTTGCCAATTTCTAATGTAGGCAACTATAATCGTTTTAGACTTCTTAAGAAGGAGTAAGGTCTGTATTCTTTCGAAGGAGTAAAGGATACCGCATTTGCCTGCCTCTAAAGGATAGGCACTAGAGACAACTGATAAGTTCGCGGCCTGAGGTAGTTAGAAAGGACACATAATCTCGTTACTGATAATACTAATTGCCCATTATTAGTATGAATAACCTAACTCAGCTCCTTCATATACGATGGTGGAAAAATGGGCTCGGCTATTTCAACAATGGATGGAGAGACCTGTTGACATAGTGTTGCCGCGCGCTTTGTTGAAAATTTTCCTAAATTTCTGCTTAATGTATTGTTCCAACTCAGACTGTGACTCACATACATCATCTTTGGTTAAATTTCTTGTTACTATATTCCTGCACTAGTTTCCAGTTCGTTTTTCTAGGATTTCGGAAAATTTCACTTTTTGAGGGCTAAGAATTTTTTTTTGAAAATCCGCATGATCATAAAACGAGGGCTTACGAAGCATCTTCCCATTCTCTGCTACTATTTTTTAAGAAGAAGTGCAACATTGAGAATGTTTAGCGAGGCTAATATCACCCTTGTTTGCAATAACCTATAGCTTCAGTAAAACCCCAAACCTTTCATTCACCATATTGTGCGCCTATGACCAGGCGCTGTTTAGCATTTCAATCGCATGTACCAACTTCTGGAGTTCATTATGTATGTGAAATGAGTTTTATCTCCCAAGGCCATGGGTAGGTTTCTGATTTAAAGCTGCATTATAACCGAAGCACTTGAGATGGAGTAAGAGCTCGGCAAATTCGATATTGATTTTATGCAAGTTTACCTAGAGAACCTTTACGATTGAGATCCGGTTTCTTCTCGGGTCGGGTTGAATCTCCCCCTTGTCTCTTTGCATTTGGAAGCTTCAAGGTGGTATCCCAGCTCTCTCCTATATCTTTTTCCATCTCCCGCTCTTCTAGCATGTTTTTGGTCACAGTGTGGGATGTGGTTTTCGAGACGAAGGTATACGCTACCTAGGGCTCACTCTATCTCTCAGCATATGTACTATGCCAACTTGTTTATTCTGAGGATATAATTTTCGCTAACATCCTCATTTCCATATGTGTTGAACTTCAGCATCTTCCAATCGTCCGTAGTATATCCGGCTTATGTCCTTGTAGAAGTCGAAGCCTTCAGGTTTTACCGTACAAGGTAAGAGCACCTTCGCTTTCGGTATGACCGAAAACAAACTGCGAGCCACCATCTCTAACACGGCATCCTCCCACAGGATGTTTTTCCTATCTAAGAGACAACTGTAGAGCAAAATATTTTTAAGCTTCTTTCTTTGGAAATAGGAACATAGTTTTTAATTTTGCAACGTATCTCAAGTTAAAATACATCTTCTTATGATCATTTCAAATTTTCTTTTGATGCGAAAAGTTTAATTTTAGACAATTCACGAAACCGGCTGATCAGGCTAAAATAACATATATCCGACCGATTTTTCAGATTTGAAATACCAAACTGGCATCTCATCCCAAGAGTGATCCTACATTGGATTTCAAGATTGACATAGTTGTTGGTTTAACACTGGCCCGAAGAGAAGCCAAACTATCTAGGTTTTCAGAGTTATGACTCTCAACAATGAAGTGGAAACCAACGAAAGCGAGGACTGTTTATTTTATGGCAAGAGATATTTCGCCTTGCTTCCATATTATTTTCATCAGCAATAAACTAAAGAAGTAGGGCAGCTGTTTTAAAATCGGTGATGGACCATTCCCGGATCATTTCCTAGGTGAATACCTCATGGTGAATACCTTGTCGGTGAGGCATTTACCTGGTAGTAAGCCACACCGATAAGTCAGTCAGTAAGTTTGTTGACGATGAGTTTTAGCCTTATCGCACAGTATTTGGCACTGGCTTTGGGACCCCTACTTCGGTGGATTGGGCAGATCGCACTTAGAAGCTGACACAACGGAGTCGCATTGCCGTTTTACTTCTTTCTTTGTACTCGGTCAATGTAACATCTATTCCAGCGTCATCCACTGGTGAATCGTTTACCCCATTTTCACGCAGCCTCCAAAATTCAGTATACACTGGGCAGCAGTATATTTCCTCTAAACTGCGGCCCGGCAAACCTCATCGTACCAATTTTTTTTCGACTTCTCTCTCAAGGCTCTCAGAGAGTAGGAGTGCAAGTCGGTTAGATGACCATTAAGCTGATTGTCGTGATTGCTGCTTGTCCCTATCGAACCTTCCTTGTATTTATTACCCGACTTTTCTTCGTTTTTATATACTATTAAAACTTGTCGGGTTTTAATGTCAGGATTGTGTTGTGTAGGAATTTTGACAATTGTGGATGATGCTTTCTGGGATATTGTACTTCGATTATGTTATATTTTATTTATTCAACCTTTCATTATATCCGTACGAGTATTTTCTTCAACCTAAATCAATATAAAAAAATTTTCCATGCAAATCCATTATAAGTTCATTTTCTTTTAGGAAAAGAAAAAGTAAATAAAAATCATAATAATTGTTTACTAATATTCTCCATATTTTTAATTTGGCTTTACGCTTTCTTTCAGATCTAAAGTCGCCGCTCTACTATTGGACAAACATTTGCAGATTAGCCAAATACCCAAACCGCGTCCGAGTATCCAAGTCGAACAGTCAACAATTACCACAATGCGTCGGGAGCGTAAAGCCGCACGAACGCTTGGAATTATAATGAGCGCTTTTCTACTCTGTTGGGCACCGTTCTTCCTCTGGTATGTACATGTAAATGTAATATATTATAAATAATGCAAATAACTGTACACCAACCCCGAATGTGCAAAATTTCCATAAATATTAAATGTTCTGCCGATTAATGCGTTGATACGCACTCGGACCATTTTTAGCCATCACCGTAATCTTCGCTTTTACTTTGCCGTCTGCCTTCCGGTTTTATTTACATCCGTTTTGAGTTAGTTTCAGCTGGTCCATTACTTGGGTTATTACATAATAAATTTAACTTCGAAAAAAACTTGTTTTGTATTTTTGTTAGTGTAGCTTTACCGTTGTTTGTCGCTCTTTTCTTCTAGGTATTTGACGTCAGCACTCTGCTCTAACTGTAAAACACCACGCATTGTTGTTGGCGTACTCTTTTGGATCGGCTACTTCAATTCAGCCTTGAATCCAATCATTTATGCTTACTTCAATCGTGATTTTCGCGGCGCATTCAAGAAAACTTTGAAGGTGAGTGGGTGATTTTCTACGCTGTAAAAATATAATTTCTGGATTTTTAGTTATTCTAATATTCACACATATATTTATCGCTTGCCGCTTGTGAGGGAAAAGTGCACTTTTCGTTTTAAGTTAATAATTTTTTTTTTTGCTACTAACAAAAGCGATTATATTCAATGAAAAAGAGTTTTATACTTACAATCTTTATCACAAATAAACTTTTCTAACTGACACATTAACGCTATCTGATTCTATTCTCTCATTCTTTGTATATAATATATACATATGTACATACATACATGCTTTCTGTTGCAGTCTGTCACTAACTATGAATTTATTTCTTTACAAAGTATTACCAGAAGGTCGCCTACTTGTGATCCGTATAGTTCGAGCCTCTTTTCTAACTTACTTTTGTAGCATATGACAATATTTACCCCTCTCTCCCTCTCTCTGTCTCCCTGTCTCTTATCAATTATTAAGAAAGAGTAAACAAATGCTCAGTATCGATCATTCCAACAATCTACAAGGTTAAGCCGTAAGAATTTCAAAGCTCTGATAAAATTGGGCCAAACGTCTCTTCTTTTCGCTGTTCCACGTCAATTGGAAATAGTAAGTCAAGGCAAATTCTCTTCCATCAGATAGTTCCAGTGGAGTAAAGGTCCTTCCACTGCTATTTTTAAAGTTGGATTGCTTTCAACGTTCTGTACGGCTCAAGGAGTCAGCATCATTGGTCGGCTTAAGCGCGGGTTACTCCATTGTGCTCGTCTATTATTGAAACTCCGAACTGGCGCGGAGCTGCTTCTTCCCTACCATGATCTCTTCATGCGAGTATTGAACTCAAGGCGGTCTTAATACTTCACTGTTGTACCGAAGCTTTCTCCCGAAAATCATCCATCCGGGGAGAGTTTAGGAGGAGCTGCTATGAAGGAAGCACACACATAGACACATATATAGCTCCAAAGTGTGATTTTTGACAAATCTTCCAATATACATCGATTATGTAGAGCCTGGCACTGGGATCGGTTTATTAACAGAAATTGTCCAGAAGAACTCTCTCATTAATTTTAATTAAATCCAATGTAGCTGTCTCTTAATTCGCTGAACTAAAAAGTCTTCTCTATGAAATCGTTTTCTCGTAAGTTCGGCGAAGGTCTTTTCAGACAATTCAGTTTGGGTTTCGTTTGCAATCGAATCAGAAAAGAAACTGTATGAGTGAGTTAAAGTATAAGATGCCAGGTTCAAGCCATTGTCTACTAACAAAGTCTAATTACTCTAATTTCCTTCGTCACTGGATGTCTTTGACGGACTATAAGGGCGGCCGCAGTAGCCGAGCGGTCAGCGTTGTGTACTGCCAATCGGAAGGCCCGGGCTCAAATCCTGGCACAACCAACAACCAAAGATTATTAAATTAGTTTAAAATAAAAAATTATGTTAAATTTTCTAATTGCGGTCACCCCTAGGCTGGGATGGTCAAACCCTCCGGCTGTATTTATGACATGAAATAAAAACTCCTCATAAAAAAACCGATCAGCCGTTCGGAGGCATCTTAGTATAAACTGAACGTCCCTCCTTTTATTGGGGGGAAAAAAGAGGCAAAAGTACAAGGTGAAGGAGAGCTCGGCCGCAAATCGCTTCAGCGATTACAAAGCGCCAATTATAGGTGCGGTTAATTTCCTCATGCTGTGATTAAACTTTGAAATATCAAAAGGAATTGGTTTCAATTTAAGTCTAAAATGCGTTATTTGAATTAAAGAGGAGAGTTTGTATTTACGCCGAGATCGCAGCATCCTTTATGTATCCGCACTCTCTTATAGATCATAGATTCTTTGATAACTCTTTCCGAATAAGGCTTACTTCTAGAAAGTTGTTTCGAAAACTTTCTCTTCGTCATCTTATTCTTTTCCATCTTTTTCTCTTCATAGACATCGCCGCGATTACAGCTGTTTAACGCCAATTGGAAATACCAAGTAGAGCCAGATCCTACTGCAGCTGGTCTTTCTAACGTAGCGGATGTCTTCTTCTTACTTCGCTTCCATAGGCGGGTACTGCAACGAAGACTTTCAAAACTGGGACATTCTTAACCAACCGGAACACATAACCCTCTCGTCCACAACTTATAGCAGAATGGAAATACTGAGTGACTTGTAGGCTTTTGGTTTGAGGGTGTATATAGTCTATTACACTTTTCCATTAACTACTCTGTCCACAGTATCACCTGTTGGGATATTGCGTTCTTTTCCAAAGTTATGACTGTCAACAGTAACGTAGAAGCCAAGTAGCGAATTTAATTTCTGCCTGTTTGATGACTGAAGATATTTAGTCTTGTTTTTGTTCACTATCAGACCCATACGCTTCGTTATCTTATCCGGGCTGGGGAAATCAGAACTCACGGCGCAATTTTTAAGGCCAATGATGTCAATCGCATCGACGTACACCAGCAGCTGTACACATTTAGAGAAGATTGTATCTTTTCAGCTTTTCAGCTCGTATTATTTTCTCCAACAACAAATTATAGAACCCACACAGGTCCTTCTACGTCTTAACGAAGCTTACGGTGTTGGTTAACGTCAGTTTACACATCCATATAAGTTTTACGGGGCACTGAATGCAGACAAAGCGGCGTTGAGGCAGCTCCTTTTCGTGCTGCCCAAGACTGCCTTGAAACCGATGGTGAGGCGTGGTCTTTTCCAATGTTTGGTGAATTTACCTGGTCTAAAGCCACACTGATAAGGTTCAATCAGTTTGTCAGTTTAGTCTTTCACACAATACGGTTGATGGCAATTTATAAGCGATTTTCAGGAGGTAAATGGTGCAGACTTTGGGATCACCCTTCTTATGGATTGGAAAGAGCATACTTAGGTTCCAATAGTGGGACATACTTTTATGAAACATCTGAAATAGGTTACGCCAACTCCTCATATTTTCACTCAATCATTCAGCAGGCACAAATTCAGTATACTTTAGGTGTTAGTGGCTTTATCATTTCTCTACAGAGTTTCGTAATCAGCTCGGAAATACTTACGTCAAGATATTCCTATTAAAAAATCTGTTCTCAATAAATAAAAGTACTCTTGGCCCAGCATCTTAACTACAAATTATAATTGTAGAGAAATAACATAAAAGCAAACATAATTACATCAATTAGTAAATAGATTTTATTATGTAATTGGCCTTAACTGTAAACATATACTACAAATATACACACACAATTATTAATAATATTATATATACATATATAATATATAATATTTATATATAAATACTTGTATTTTCTTGTATGCCAACGCAAGTGTCCGCAAATAATGAAATTTCAAGTTGCTAAATGGTGCGTATTAACTAAAATATGAAAAAATAATAAAGCAACAACTGTAGGTAGTATTAAAAATGGTTAAAAAAATAACAATATAAACTTTCTAGCTTCTGCACTTTAAACTCTGCAAAGATTTAAATAGTTCTTTAGACACAATTCGCACTTTCCATAATCTATGAAATTTTCTCTTCTACGCCTGACTAATTTTCAATTTAATAGAAAGTCTTTTCATATATCGATTAGTAGTAGAATGCTTATTTAGTACATTAGATCAAAGGCTGAAAGTAGCATATTTTAAATAGTAGCAATAAGAAATTATTTTACTTTATTAATTTTAGTCTTTCTCTTACTCTTAACCCAGCGAAAATGCGAGTACTCCATGCATGAAATATGTATAACCTATACGGACAACGGAGCACTTCAAAACTAACCACAATACTAGTATATACAGAATATATGGTCTCATTGACATTGCGATAAAGGGTTTTTTTTTCTAGACGTGTGACAACTAATGAGAAAAAACTATTTTCGGGCTTGAGAGCTATTACCGGATTTACGCTCATTTTAGTTTGCCATTGCACAATGAACAGACTTAAAACAATGTATTATCAAACATCATGGTTAGGCGCTAACGCAGGACATATCGCGCGCCTCCTATATTCTGTTTCCATAATCGCCCTGAAGAGTCGGTAATTGCATCGGTCTCACACCACGTTAGCTCCAGTGTATAATACGCATTCTCAGAGACACCGTACAATCCGCTACTCTGGAGCAGAGTATCGAAGAAGAGCCATATGAATCTAACTTCCGCATTCGAGCGTAGCAATTGGAGCTGTATGCATTCAATTTATGGGAGATTTGGAAAAAGAAAAGGTTTGCATGCTTACAAAATCCAAGTCGTGCACGAATAGCAGCTGAACAACCATCAAGTGTTGGCCTCTAAGATCGTGTAGCTTTGTTTAATTATACGGTGTCGCTTGGATACACGAATACGCCCGAGGCGATTGATGATTTCGAAGAGAAAATTGCATAAAGTGGTCGAAAATTGGGAATTAATGGGGCAATGGCGCTCGGTACACGCGTATTAGAGAAAAAATTAATGCAGCAACTAAAAACATTTTGGTTAACTTTTTCTATTTTGGATACATTAGTTAATTACTCTACTGGCGCACACACCGATAACGCAGTTTTGGCCGATTTAACAACATTGCGCCATTCCTTTCTTCTCCTCTTTGGCGCCAATTCGAAATACCAAGTACAGCCAGGTCCTTCTTTGCCTGGTCTTTCCAACGGAGTGGAGGTCTTCCTCTTCCTCTGCTTCTACCGGCGGGTACTGCATCGAAAACTTTCAAAGCTGGAGTATTCGCATATATCCGGACCACATGATCTAGCCAGCGTAGCCGCAGCTTCTTGATTCAGTGAACGATATCAATGTCGCCGTATAACTCGTTCCATCGCCTGCGATATTCGCTGTTGACAATGCACCAAGGACCATAAATCTTATACAAAACTTTTCTCTCGAAAACTCCTAACTCCGACTCATCAGATGTTGTCATCGTCTATGCGTCCGCACCATATAGCTGGACGGGAACGATGAGGAGCTTGTAGAGCTTGGGTTTCGTTCGCCGAGAGAGGACTTTACTTTTCAAATGCCCACTCAGTCGAAAGTAGCACCTGTTGGCAAAAGTGATTCTGCATTGGA